GTACCCTTTGATGCTACAGTAACACAGCTGACTACTAAGGTTGCCACAAGAGAATGTTTTGTCATAGAAAACCTTCTATTATTCTGGAATACTTTGGAACCATGGTAAGAGATGTCACAGCTAATAGAAAAGGTGAAGAGGCTTTGGTTTTGGCATGCAGAAGAATGTTTGTTGAGTTAGGCACACTTCCGAAAAGTCTTTTGGGGCTGATTTTATCATCCTACTTTTATTTCATCATCTCCTTTCATGCCAGTCACCGTGTGGCTCATATTTGGAGGCTTTGCTATTTGCTTTGTTTCTGGGATGTTTGGTAGGTCACCTGCTGGCGTCACCGGCATGTTAGATGAGAACGTTGCTTTTATTTAATGACCATCCTCATTAAGATTCAGGATAGAGGAAATGTGAAACATATGGTTGTTTTCTATGTCTTTAATCGCCGATTCACCCCACCCACACCCACCCTGTACCCATCTTACTTTATCTCAAAGTTTGCGTAGGCATTTTGGAGGGTCTCCTGTTCAAGCAGTGATAACGCAAAGTGAATGTGTTTGCTTAAGAAGAGAAAGGAGCTCTGACGTTGGAGACTATCACCAGAAAGACACAAAGCAAACCTCAGGAAACAGAAAGAAACATGTTGCCAACCGTCAAAATGCAGGTTAGTAAAGTGGAATTTGATGGGGAATTTGTTTTCTGGTCAATGAAAGGAAACAAGGGTTTAAAAAGCCAAGCGTACTTGTCAAGAGAGAAAACTTGAATGAAAGAGTCTTAACAAACTTGTGGAAAGGCAATCACAGTGCAGACGTGGGAACCCAAACGTTCACATTTTCTTATAATGGAAGCCAGTATCTTGTTAGCTAGTCTTTGGGGCATTGTTGCCTTTTTGTCAGCATTTCAGACAGTGTCTCCTCTGGTGATGTCTGACCAGCCACTAGGTAAGTTAAAAGCATTATTTAAATTCAGTGCCTTCTACAGTGTGGGCAAAACACAAGGCTTTCTAAATTAAATGCATTGAAATTATTTCACCTCTAACTGCATTATACTAATGTATTATTGTACCAGGACATCACCAAATTAATTTCATGCCAAAAAATTGTACAAGTTTATTTTGATACATACGATGCTTCTTGGTGAATTATGAACAAAACCTTGGACTTCATTCTTTCATATCTGAATGTAAAGCTTTTCATTTGCTCACTTGGGATCATTTTTTTTAAAGTACATGAGATCATGCTTCTTTTCCTTTGTATTTCAGAGAAAAGCCAAAGAGATGAGAAAGATTCTGGAGCTAAACAAAAACAACTTCTGGAATTTTTATCAGCACTTGATGAGGTACAGAAAAGCACCAATCCCGTATTTGTTTCCAAGACTACCGGACTTCAAGGTAATTAAACAAAGATCAGTTAATTTGAATAATAACTGTTGTTCCTATCAACTAAATGGCATAATTGAGTAATGGATTGATGCTTTCTTTCTAGTAGGTTAGATTACCCTGAAATTCTTTCTTTCTAGAAGGTTAGACTACCCTGAAATTCCCTTAAACCCTAAAAGTCACTGAATATGTTTTAGTTAAGAGTGTTAATGCATGGTTTGTTTATATTGCAATATAAATGAATTATATTCTATTAAAATAACTAAAACATGGTAAGATAATTAAATGTGTTATGCATAATATAATAAGCAATTAACCACTTGAAAATCTTGAAACTATAACATATTTAAGGAACTATTTTTACCCGTGTGAATGATATTTATTAAGTAGTTATGCTTTTGCACAAAAACCTGATAATATATGTGATAATATATGAAAACTAAGAATACATTATTCTGTCACAAAACATTACAATTAATTTGTGTGCCAGGAAATTTTTATTTAAATATTTATGTATGATTTTATATTCAAATATATCTATAGTAACATTTAAACCCTACAAAACCAGGAGTAGTTCATGTTCTCTTAATTGAAGAAGAGAAAATATACAAACAGAACCCTGTGTGTAGACTTATCTGAAAAGCTGATGGTAACCCTATTGCTGAGAGACTGGCTGCCTTTAAAGGAAAAATGTGACTGTGTACTGACCACTGCCCTAAATCACACTAAATGGAAGGACTGACATGGGAAGTAGCTATAAATGCAATCTCCAATGGGTGTAAAGACCAGGCAACAAAGTATTTGAGTGAACACCTAGCAAAGCAAATAAATATTTTCAGCTTTGCTCTCTTGGAATTAGAGGAAGTTGAGAGTCTGAAAGCCCCATTGGTTTCAAATTGAAGACACACCAACTACTTGAATAGTTTAATAAGAGTTAATGGCCACAATTTATCCCAAAGTGAAATACAAGGTGAGGATGGAAATTGCAGGGTAGAAAATGACAACATTTTCTACATAAATTCTTCCAATATTTTCCATATCAATCTATGAAAATGCTGTTGGTTTATCTCAGCAGTTTGCAGCCTTTGGTTGTTTTGGACAGCTTACCATCTGTTAGGAATTGTGGGAGCTGAAGTCCAAAACCCCAGGAGGACTAAAGTGTGGGAACTACTGGTTTGTCTAAAAAAAAACACATGGGAAATTCTGAGGTCATCCAGTTTTTATAAAATTAATAACATTTCCCAACATAGCTTAAATATTTGTGCAAAGTGGTAACAAAACTTTTTTTAAAAATCTACTAAATAATGTTTGCTTTTGCATTTCAGCTTATGCTCAGATGTTTGGAAAGACAATCAGAAAGGTAAAAACCAGACAACTTAAAATACCCTTTTTATTCTGAATAATTGTTCTATCTTATCAGGTTAGAAGACATTTTAAAAACTGATTCTGCACCACAGATCGCCCTATAAATTTCCCTGAACATAGAGAGGGTTTGGGAATATGATGCAGTGGGTTAAACCGCTGCTGAACTTGTTGACCAAAAGGTCGCAGGTTCAAATCTGGAGAGCGGCGTGAGCTTCCGCTGTCATCCCTAGCTTCTGCCAACCTAGCAGATCAAAAACATGCAAATGTGAGTAGATCAATAATAGGTACTGCTCTGGCAGGAAGGTAATGGTACTCCATGTAGTCATGCCAGCCACATGACCTTGGAGGTGTCTACAGACAACGGCGGCTCTTTGGCTTAGAAATGGAGATGAGCACCAACCTCCAGAGTCCGACATGACTGGACTTAATGTCAGGGGAAAACCTTTTTCTACCTAAGGAACAGCTAACCTTAAGCATAGAGACCGGAGAGTGCAAAAAATATATACATTGAAGTGCCCCATTCAGAATCCTACACCAAGTAGTATCAATAACAACACGGGGAGCACAATTCTGGGGAATGTTATCTGAAAAAGTACATTTTCCACTCTCTGATCAATACTCTGAAAACTTCAGGATTCATCTGTGTTGCTTTTAGTCCTGTTCACCACTTTGCGCCTCTGTTAAGAGAGAAAGTGACATACAAATAAAAATGAAAAATGTTATTCACCTTTCGGTCACTTTGGACACTTCAGTTGACATTTTAACAAACTTTTTCTTGTGTCCCTTTTCTGGATAGGATGGGCTAGAAGAAGGTCAGCCTGGTCCTGTCCCTCAAGAAGATGGTGTCGCTGCATCAAAGAAGGACCTACAAAAAATATATGCTTTAAGTGGAAGGAATTTCAGGAAAGCAGTGCCACGATCTTCCAAAAAAGGAAAGAAACGAGGTGCGTCTTCCAACAGAGCCATTATGTTTTGTTGTATATTGTGGCAGTTTGATGCCTATATTGTGAAAGGACAGCAAAATGCCCAAACTACTTGTTTGTGTTCTTTCTCCTTGAAATCTGGCATCACACCAATCCACTAGATGAAAGGATCCTGTGCATATCCTGACAAAATAAGGTAGCTGTTAGCTTCACTTTCTTTAATGGATACAGTATTGTTAGCCTGTAAAAGAATGCAAGCTAACAATGAGGCCATCATTTCAAGAAGATGAGAACGGCAAGGTGCTGAAAGAGCTAGCTTTTCTGCCTTTTAAGGGTAGAAGAGATGTTGTCCTGCCATTGGTCATTGAAGGCAAAAAAAAAAAAGCAATTGCCAGCCCAGTTAGCATTGTATATGAAAAAGGAAATGGGCACCCTACTGCTTGTCATTGGAGATACAAAATGTATTGGCAATTATTCTACATACCCTAAAAGTACCAGATTCTGTCTGATTTTGAAAGCTAAGCAGGGTCATAGCTGATTAGTATTTGGATGGGAGACCACTATTGAAAACCAGATTCTGTGGGCTAAACTTCAGAGGAATAAACTGGAAAAACTTGCTCTGAGTACCCCCTGCCTGAGGGGCCATCTACACCGACCATTTAATACAATTCAAAGCTAGCTTCAAACTGCAGCAGCCAGACAACAAACTTCCATAAAAGCACACAAAAGACAGCCTTTAATGTGCATCAGTGCTCGGTGGTTTGTGTTATCACTACCTGGGCTCAACTGGTTCCAAGATTTTCTATGTAATCATCTGCACAGCAAAATGACCCTCTTCGGTACCAGTTTGAAATTGTATTAAATGGTCAGTGTAGGTGGTGTCTAAGACAATCCTATGATATTTATGGATTTGCCGTAAGTAGACAGGCAACTTGAAGACACATAAACATGCATTTGTTCTATGTGTAAACATATCAGAAAGTAGGAAATATTTCCAGAACAAATAGTAGGAGATAGTGTTTGACTAACCAAGAATATGGCCAGAATAGGAGACACATTAGAGAGACTTTTCTATGAACTATAACTATATTGATTAAAAGTCTTTTTTATTCTATTCTAGCCTGCTTTTGGAAGTACTGCGTACAAAGCAAGTAAAGTTATTAATACATCAAGCCAACGAACCATTCTGGTGATGAAGAAACCCGAAGGCTGACAATGAAATCTTCAACATCTCAAGACTTTTTCCACAACGAAGATTCAGCAGCGATTACTACTCATAATTAATTGACCATATTTGCCTTGTGCACATAGATATTTAAAAGATTCATATCAGTATTTAAGACTTGTGTCAGTTATTTTTATTTCCAACATAAAAATAAAGTAATTTTTATACAAGTCATGTTACAGAACTTGAATACCTACATAACAAGAAAACTTGTTTCTTCAAATTATACACTGAAAAAAGTATGCCATGTAAAATTTCCAGGATTTTGTTCACTGAGATGCAAGGAAGATCTGTTAGCATGTCTACTTGTTCCAATGAAAAAGGTAAAGATATCAGAAATAGTCTCATGTTCAGACCTACATAAATCCCACACTTCCTCTGATTCTCCGGGAAGGTTCAGAGGATACTATAACAATACATTTCAGACAAAGAAAATCAAACAGCAACAATACCAACATTAGAAATGGTCCATAAATATGGTGGCATATACAAGTTTGCACCAGTGGGGCACAGCTATCTGAATGTTGGACTGGGACTCCAGCCACTGAAATCCATGGGTAATCTTGGGCGAGTCACACTCTCTCAGCCTTAGAGAAAGGCAATGGCAAACCGACTCCGAAAAAATCTTGCCATGAAAACCCTATGATAGTATGACAGGTCACTCACTGTAAGTCACAATAGACTTAAAGGCACAAAGCAGCATACAACTATTTGTATTTTTACACCTTCCCTAATCAACCACATGAAAATAAACACAGAACAAAATATTTATTGTATTTTCTGTTTAAAAAATATGTAAGGCATGTTAAACAACTACACTGATTAAATATGTAGTCTAAATGTGTGTGTGTGTGTGTACATATATAGAGAGAGACAGAGAGAGAGAGACACACACACACAGAGAGAGAGAGAGAGAGAGAGAGAGAGACTTTTGCATATGAACCATTAGCAATATGTTGAGAACTAAAATATCAAACCCACCATTTAATCTTGGCATTGTGGAACAACTTCCTTTTCAAATAGTTTCTCTTCAAAGATCGGAGTAAAAAAATCAACATTTAACACTGTTAAAATTAGTCATGAGAAATATGAAAGAAATACAAAGTAAATTTCATGATTATTTAGTGCAGCTGTATACTTATACGTTTAGTTACTAAATTAAAACAAAATGTTCACTGCAATAATGTTGGTAAGAAAATTAGACATTTGTGAGTTGAAAATATCTAAAATATATTCTAAAATAGATTTACTTTAGCAAATACATATTTCATTCAATTATATATCCTATAGAAATATTTATACATTACAGGAAAACAGAGAGCTGCATAGTTTGATAAAGGAAAGAAATGCTAGTAGTTTCAGTATAAATAACAAATTGAGTTTTGATAACTGATGTAGACATTTTAATTTTTTCAACACTAAAAGTAAACTAAAGAAACCAATGAAAATCCTTGATAATGCGATCGAGTTAATTAAACCACCCTTTGTTTAAACCTTGATCTCTTGCTTATATAATAACAAACTCGCTTTTGTGGATGTTGAAACAAAACTCTGGCAAAGATATTGGCTGCACAAGAAAATAAGATGGGAGGATGGAGTAATCAAGTTTGCGGCAGTTTCCTTCTTGTCATGCCCATTGTATTGGAGTCTAATAAGTAGATTACTAATTTGATTGTGGTTTAGTAGTACATATAAACCAGACCAGAGAACTTCCTGAATAACGTATATCTTTCAAGAACTTTCTAATAAATTCTGTTCCAGAAATGAGGAATCATTTTCCCTTGAAGACTGAACCATATTTGGTTCAATTTCTTTAAAAATGAACCATATTTACTATTGCCCATTGGTGGACACGTGCGTGTCATTTGATTGACAATAGCAGGTAAGAATAAGCCATCCAAATAACAACCATGGAAGGAGTTTCAAATCATGTCAAATACAATGTTTCTAAAGTTTTCAGTTTACAAACTCTAGACTCTTTATGGAACAATATTAATACAGTCATACGACAAGGACGGGAACTTTTGTTCTTCTCGGGGGCTGTAACATACATATTGAGAGGGGGAAATAGGCTTTATTCTTTCTCAGAATAACAGAGCCTGTAATGATCTTGGAAATCATCTAGTCTGGTCTAGGGTAGTTTCTTCAGTGCAGCATACAGCTTTAAAAAACTTCAGTCATCAAAGAAATTTGGCAGCAGCTTTGAAATACATTCTGATACAAATTGTGAAAAGCAATTATCTCTCATTTAGGGCAGAGCAGGTATATTCTAGAAACAGCAAGAGAGCTGTTGGGCCTGTTTGGGCACCACAGGAAACACAGACTGGAATGTGTGCAATGCTAAGCCCTTTTGCACATGCAGACTGCCTTTTTATTTTCCTTAAGTGAACATCACTGGGATCAGATGCAAGAAGCTTGGAGGACCTTCTTTGACAGGTAGATGTCAAATTAATCATGTCACGATAATATTCCCACAGTGCCAAATTCTACAATATTGCATTACCTTTGTTATCTGTATTCCCCATACCAAGGTACTGGGAAGTGATGCAGCAAATTCTTGGGCTACAAACTACACAATGTGTAAACCAGTTTTTGCAGAACATTAGCTATAGTACTGATGGAGTCTAAAAGCATATGATAAATGCATCAATAGTAGCTATGTCTTGTTGAAGTTTAAGGGATGGTACCACAAATTCCAATTTGTTTTCCACTGAACTTCTCTGATACTGTAAATAGTCTAATTCATGTTCATTAGAATCCACAGGTGATTTCCTACTGACTTCAACCTAAGAAGGTTTGTGTCAAATCCCAATGGTGTGTGCAAGTGTTGCCAATCTGCTGTGGTTGACACAGAGAGTGCTGAATTGAACTACCATCCATATCTAAAAGGTATAACAATAAGGCATATAAAACTGCATGACTAACTTCACAGCATATTTTTAACATGAGCTTCGGCTATTTGTGGTACTCTGGATATTTATCTGAAGTCTAAAATGTGTAATTACTATGTAATCTAGGTCTGAAATGTCTCAAATGTTTTTAACTTTGATCTATTATGCAATCATAATTTTACCAATGTCAGTCTGTGCATATAACATATGTATATAGTAGCATATATACATAAATAAATGTACTATATTGGAATGAATAGATCAATATATTATGTTGAGCTGGCCAATTTCAGAATTTAAAACTGTGCAGCTAAGGAGATCTTGCATTTTGTTGTTTTTTAAAACGGAAGGAATATAGATATAGAAGAATATTCATTTATTTCATTCTTTTTGCTACATCCAAATAGGCAAACTCTATTTCCCGATCTGCAGGACAAGTATTTGTGAACTCATCTCTAGCATATGCGTTGTTCAAGTATCTCCAAACTCCAGTCATTTCAGATGGAAATTCAAAATTTCTGTATTTCTTTGCCACAATCTTTAAAAAAGAAGAAAAATAGAAAAAAATCAGTACATACACGACACAGAAATCATTACATACATGGCACCATTGTTACTTAATAATGATCCCTAGAAATCAACAAAATGCCTTGTGGTTTTCAAGAAACTACCGGAAGAAAGTAGAAAATATCATATAAATAGCTATCATTATTAAGTAAAAGTAGTATGTGTTATATATTTCTTCAAACAACCTGTTTCTTCGGAATATTAAGCCAGCATGACCATGTTGTGAATGGCAGGAATTGGGGAAGTAGAGAAGAGGAGGCTTTTCATTGATCACTTTTATGATTTACCACCCACATAGCTACTTCTCTGGCTGGGATAAGAAAGGTGAGCAACTGAGTGAGAAAGCTCATCCTGAATTTGCTGTTCTCACCCATGTCTGCTCCCATTCACATAGCCATGTAGGAGGATTGCTTGTTTTAGCCAGTGAATGCTGATGCAGGTACCCCTTGGGAATTCCCAAAGTTCTGCAGAAGTCCTGCAAGATGATACCACTGGTGACTGGTGATGAACCTCCTCACGCATTTACTCCTCCTCTCCTGGCTGCCACTACATGGCTGTACAGAGGGACAGAGGAAAAGGGAGGATCTAGGCAAGGGTGGGTGGGAACTAGGCTTGGGCCCAAATCAGTGTGAATGAAAATTTGTAATATTCAGTGTGATATTTGTAATATTTGGTGGTCCATTTAATATAATCTCCAAAAACAAAACAGGTAGGAGGGAACTGAAAAGCTCACCAAAACGGATTAAGAGAGTCAGATTTCATCGGTTACTGGAGAGGGATAGAGTTCAGTCTGCAATATAGCTGAGGTAGGGGTCTGCCGTGAGGCTCCCGAAGAAGATGGAATTATTGCAGGATCTTTTCTCCCTCCCTGGCAGTGAAGTGTCCATTTCTATTGGAAAAGTTCCCTAGACTTCTCCTCTAGTGAGGGCCTGGTGGGAACTTACTTTCCCAGCAGCACCTGCATGTCACAAGCATTGAAAAGTCTCTAAGTTCTTCTTGGAGCATGATGGGAGTTGAAGTTTCTCTCTCTCTCTCTCTCTGTTCCTCAGCCAATAAAAAGCCTGGTTGTGTCCATGCTCTGATCAGCTGTGAATTGACACAAGCTGTGACTACAATTCCCAAAACCCTCTCTTGTGGTTTGTCTTATTTACAACATGTCATGGTTAAAACCTAAAATAATTCTTTAAAAATAGTAGATTAGTGAATTGTTTTGAAGCTTAGTAGGTCTTCAGTTGTAAATGGGGTCTAAAACTGAGATATGAATCATGCAGATAGGCCTTAAAATGGCTGAGGATTGGGCCTTTAAAGTTTCCCATTATAGCCAATTGGCTGATTCTTTGCCGAATGAAAATGGCAACACCCCTTTCAAGTTGAGTAACTTCCTGGTAAACAGAATGAGGGGTTAGCCAAAAATGGAGCCTGAAATAGTATGCCTTTTGGCCAAATTGCACACCTCTAGTGGGAACATAATTCTTGAATCTCTTCAATACCATGGAAGAAGAGGATTTGGGAAGGATTCTCCTTTTGGGGGTTTCAGGACACTTGAAAAGCACCCCCTTGTTATTGTTTTTCTTACCCTTTCCATCCCAAGAGTATCTTATGAAAGGTTCTGGATATTTAGTATCCACCCAAAGCTCTAATACAGGGAATGGTTTAAACCAATGAGGAAAAATGGTTTCTTCCCATGAGCACTGGTGACAAAATGGGTTTTTTAAAAAGAAGCAGGAGGATAAGTACACTGATTGCTGCTCTTCACTGGCATCCACCTCACTGGCAGGAGTCTAGGAAATGTTGAGTACTCACCCCTCTAAGTCAGGGGTTTCCAACCTTTGGTCCTAGGAATGTTTTGGGCTTTGGTTTCCACAGTTTATAACAGCTTATAAAATAGCTGGGATATCTGGGAGTTCAAGTCCAATACACCTGGAGGACCAAAGTTGGAAGTCACTGTCCTAAGTGCTTTAATTAACAGTAAAACTACATTGTTAAGCACACATAATTATACCTTGATATATTCAATCACTACAAAATAAAACAAAAAACAGGTAACATACAGGGTTGTAGTAGGTTTTTTCGGGCTATATGGCCATGTTCTAGAGGCATTCTCTCCTGACGTTTCGCCTGCATCTATGGCAAGCATCCTCAGAGGTAGTGAGGATGCTTGCCATAGATGCAGGCGGAACGGCAGGAGAGAATGCCTCTAGAACATGGCCATATAGCCCGAAAAAACCCACTACAACCCAGTGATTCCAGCCATGAAAGCCTCCGACAATATTGAACATACCATTCAATATTCTACAGTTTTTTGCCTCTTGTTACAAGAATAAGTGAGTATGCTAAAGAGGGAAATAAACACACCTTGATGATGTGGAGTTTGGGTAAGAGATTGCAGTCTGCTAATGTAAGGTCATCTCCATCTAGGAATTTCCTTCTGGAAACAGGGAGCTCTTCAGTGCTATATGCATCAATTTCTTCAGGCAAAGGGGTATTTAAGTATGTATTCAATTTCCTTAGAGCTTTAAGCAATGCTTTCTCTAAATCTAGGGACAAGAAAAGGGTACGTAAGAATATAATATTTCTACTACTAGCAAAATGCAGGTAATGTTTGCACAGGCAAAATGATACTAACTAGAGGTAGAGGCACTCTTAAGGAAACCCTGAGATGTGTAAAATGAGCCTAAACACTTCTTAGTCCCAGATATAACAGAGTTAGTGAATCAATGCTAACTTGATAAGGCAACACTTATGTAAGTTCAATTGATACCATGGGTCTATTTGGAAGGAGCAATGAGATTTAGACCACAAAAGTGATCTTCTGTTCATGCTTGAAGACAGAAAACATCAAGATCATGCATGCAAACCATTGTGCAGATAGGAGAGGAGGAGCAGAAATGGAATCCCGAAGTGCAGCACCAGCCGACCAAGTCACCTACAGAGGGTACAAGCTGGATTCAGACTCTAAAAGGAGAAAGACAGAGTTGACTTGAGGAAGAGAGGGAGAAGGAGGAGAGAAGGGGAAAGGAGAAAGCATAGGAGGAAGGAAACAATGCAGAGAAGGCAATCAGGATAGAGACTACAGAGGAACCATTATGATTGGGTGGGATACAAAAAAACTTAAGTGGGTTTCTCTTAGACAAACAATCACCACTGGGATCTTTCGTATGGACTTGCAAAAGAGTCTCCTCAATGGGAACTAGGCTGCTCTCCTCTCTATTTTCTGTTTGCCAGTAAATACTTTTTTATTTAGACATGCTTTTGACTCTGAATTTATTGTTGCATAAACAACTTTTAATGGAAGGGTGCTGTACAGTTATCTTACTTACTATAATGTAAAACCATCTTGGATCCCATATTAAGAGAAAGCAGAATATAAATTAAATATCTTATCTACTATATTATAATATGATGTAAAATAATATAATCAATGGACCACCCATTCATGAAATAGGTACAGAGCAATCACATAATGTTAACTATCAGCTGGAAAAAAGAAAGAGGAAACTGTAGGGATTGGAATGCAGTCTCTTCAAAGAGAGCTTGACTGGCTGGCTGGCATCTTGAGAAGCACTCCTTACTGGAGCTCTTACATATTACACAATTATAGAACCATGATTTGTTGTTGACTGCCATGGTTCCATCCTATAGATTCATAAAACTTGCAGTTTTACGAGATATCCAGAATTTCAACCAACTACAATGCTCAAATGCTTCACCAAACTACAAATCCAAATGTTCCATAGGATGGAGCCATGGCAAATAGAGAGGACCCATGGTGCTATAATGTATATTGTAAAAGGCTCCTTGATCTGAAATACAATTTCTGTTACAGTAGAGTCTCACTTATCCAACCTTCGGTCATCCAATGTTCTGTATTATCCAATGCTGTCTGCATCCCACCCAGATCCACAATTGTTTCAATACATTGTGATGTTTTGGTGCTAAATTCATAAATACATTACCATGTATTGAACTGCTTTTTCTGTCGATTTGTTGTAAAACATAATGTTTTGGTGCTTAATTTGTAAAATCATAATGTAATTTGACGTTTAATAGGTTTTTCCTTAATCCCTATAATAATCCTTATTATCCAACATTTTTGCTTATCCAACTTTCTGCTGGCCCATTATGTTGGATAAGCAAGACTCTACTGTATTTTAATCCAGATGGGAATTGTGCAGGTCTCCAGGTGGTGTCAAATGGTATCTCCCCACTGACTGCTGGCAAGAGTTGCTAGCAACTCCAGTTCAAGAACCTCTGGAAGGTTGTACATTTCCATCTTGATTTAGAATAACATGTAATATGTAACATGCAGCTTTGTTCTGTTTACTGTGCTGCCTTTGAAATATAGTTTCATTGCTCCCCCAAGTAACTAGTTACAGGAATTCAGGCTGCTTGCAACTCACTACTTCCTGCCTCCTAATGTGCAAGTACTTACTTTCATTGGCATCTTTCCTTGTATTTTTTATGAATGCAGAAAATTTAGCAAACACGTCATTTCCTGCAGAGTAAGAGTCCAGATGAGTTGGTGCAAGTTTAGGATATCTAAAGAAGGTAAGACATAAGAATTTAATCATACAGTGTTCCCTCACCTATCACGGGGGTTCTGTTCCAGGAACCCCCACAATAAGTGAAAAACTGATATAGGGACACTATACTGTATATGTACAGTAAAGCTCCACCCACTCCTCTCCCCCCACCCCTCTCTCTCTCCCTCTCCTCTTTCCTCCTCCCCTTGCTGGAGCCACCCTTCTCCCTCCCTGCTTCCCCACTGGCATGGGGCTCTCACCCGGTCGCCCGAGGAAGAGCAACCGGGAAGAAGCCCTGGTGGAAGCTGCCTTGGCAGCCCTCTCGGGCCCTGGAGGAAGAAGTCTGTGAGAAATTCTGCAATTCAAGTCTGTTATATACAGTGTTCCCTTGCTACTTGTATTTTAATTTTTTTTTTAAAAGCAGCGAAACAGCGAGTCCGTGGTTAGCGAACCAAAAAAGCAGCAAGGGAACACTGTATTTCATTGTGTTCCGAACATTTTATTAATGAAACCCCTCATTAGGTTCACCTGTGACAATCATAACTTAACCAGATGCAAAGCACATTTACTTTTTCAGTGTCATTATGTCTTTTTTACTCCTCCTGGTTCAAGATCCTACATATCAAACTTCCACTTTGGAACAGAGGATCATACCTGGGTGGTGCTAGTTTTTCTTCTAAGAACTCCTCAATTTTATTTACATCTATTTTCACATCACCGTCAAAAGTCATAAAAGGAGGGTTTGTTCCTGGAGCTAATTTCTGTAAGTCTGCAGGCTTCCTATATTAAAACAAGCATCATTTTTTAGAAAAAAAAACATATTCCACACTTCACATAAACTTGTAGTTTCATTTCTATTGTGGCATTGAGAATACTGGCTACCTGTAAAATTGACTATGTAAGTATATTTACCAATCATAATTTCCATTTACAAGAATATCTGTTTGGTTTGTTTAAAAGCAATTTCTTTCCATTACCTGTTACAGGACACTTCCACACAGCTCTTAAAACCCATGCCGAAGTGGGTTTAAATAACCCACTTTGGCATGGCTTCCTGTTTAGGCCCACCCACCAAAATCCTGGGCTTTCCCAGAAGCGGGGGGTGGCTACATGCCATCTTGATTTAAATCTGTTGAAACCAGGATGGCATGAAGCCACCCAGAACCCTCCAATTTCACCCTAAAACTTACTTTAAAGGGCCCCTGGCCATCATAACTCCTCTCCACGCATCCTCTGGGCATGAGAAAATGACCTGAGGAGATGGGAGGGGTGAGGAGGAAAATCCTTCCTGCCCCCCTCCGGACCCCTCGTGTGTCACTGTCTCGCACCAGGAGGACACAAGGAAAGGGGTTATGGCAGCCAGGGACCTTTAAAAGTAAGTTTTAGGAGGAAATTGGGGGCTGGAGGAGAGGGGATGGGTGCCCTCCTGCACCTTTGAGTTTCAGAAGCCCAAACAGTGTGTTGGCTATGGGGAATCACCCCTGGGACTGTGGAAACCGTCCTGGGAGTGACTCCCCACAGGCCGAATACCTCATTAGACCTGGGCCTTTCAAGAAGGCCCAGACCTAATGAGGTATTTAATTATTTCACAACACCTTGGTTTTTTCCAAATTAATTCATTTTTACAGGAGGCATCGTTTGGATGCCTCTGGTAAAAACTAACACATGTTCCACATTTTGGGACTGTCTGGATGGACCCATACTGTTCTAAAAGCAAACCTTTGTCTCTAATCATTGCAACACAAAAAAGGCCACCCACTGCATTACTCATTACTTGACTCCTTTCTGTTACATTCTTTTAAAAAACATTAGAGGAAAGGAATAGGAAATATTCCTATCAAAATGCATTGAAAATATCTAAAAATGTTTAAAAGCGCACTCGAAGAGAAAGAAAGAGGTTATAGGGCACAGAAAGGGTTAAATAAGCAGACAAGTTAAAATAAAACCAGTTCTTTTACTTACCCACCCACCCCACCTCACTCTCCAAATATTTGTGTTGCAAATTTCTGACACAAAATTCTAAATATTTTATTTTACATATGACAAGACATTATAACTTACCGCTTCAAATCCACAGTTGTAACATTAAAAATAACCCCCTTCAACCAGAGAATCATGAAAAGGCGCTGAGAAAATGGACAGTTTCCAATACTTTCCCCATCACTGCCAGCCTGCAAAAAATTAAAAAAAAATATTTTTTTTTCAAAGAGTTGGAAGAGACCTCATGGGCCATCCAGTCCAACCCCCTGCCAAGAAGCAGGAATATTGCATTCAAATCACCCCTGACAAATGGCCATCCAGCCTCTGCTTAAAAGCTTCCAAAGAAGGAGCCTCCACCACACTCCGGGGCAGAGAGTTCCACTGCTGAACAGCTCTCACAGTCAGGAAGTTCTTCCTAATGTTCAGATGGAATCTCCTCTCTTATAGTTTGAAGCCATTGTTCCGCGTCCTAGTCTCCAAGGAAGCAGAAAACAACCTTGCTCCCTCCTCCCTGTGGCTTCCTCTCACATATTTATACATGGCTATCATATCTCCTCTCAGCCTTCTCTTCTTCAGGCTAAACATGCCCGAAGAATACTAATAATACTAATAATACTAAATTATAACTTTAGTATTAGTGGGAAGATGATAATTATAGTGAAAGTGCCATTAATTTAGATAAGTGCTCTACAGAAATAACTTGTTCCAGTGTCATTTCTTTCCATGTTTTTTCTTTGCTAAATGATGATGAAACAGAGTGGCTTTGCTGGGCAATGAATACGCTATTTTGGTGAGCTTTGGTATTGCTCTCTATTGTTATCTTAATAAAAGTCTTTGTTGTTTTTCTTTGTAATTGTTTGTTTACTTGCTTGCTTTAGCTAATTACTTTGGTCTGTCAATCCCATTTTAAAATTGTTATTCTTTTAATTTGAGTAGCACGTTGCTTTGAATGCCCATGAGGCAGGGAGGCGAGTCAAAAAAGTATCATACAATACATGCTGCCATTCAGTACCCACTCATCTGGGAGTAACACTGCTAAACATAAAGGGATTCCATTTTTTCAATAGACGTACATACGACTGCATTGTACATTGCATGATGGATCTGTATCTAGACACATTCAGTCAGTCAATATTTAATGATTCCCAGGAAGATGTTGCACTAAGCATTTTTCACCTGGATTGCTAAAAATGCATTCGGACTTCAGTGAAAATATTTTTGAGCTCAATACATTTCTCATTTCTTCAAAGTCTCTCGAGTCTGTATTTCTGCCAGAAGTTGTGTACAGGCAGTCCCCAAGTTACAAACAAGACAAGTTCTGTAGATCTGTTCTTAAATTGAATTTGTTTGCAAGTCAGAACAGGTACATTTTTAAAGTGTAACTTCATATATACATACATACAAGTACATACATATACATACACACATGCGTGCATGCATGTTTTGGAGAGCATAGCAAAGAGTTATCACTCCTGTAGTGTTTGTTCTGTTGTCTGTGCCCCTGTTGAGAAGTTTTCACCTCACTTTCTGACCCTGTGATGATTAGATTTTGGAAAAAAATGGTTTGTTGTAGAAACAAGGATTGGTGAGAAAGCTTTAGTAGAGACCCCTTTTACCCTTGGTAAGTCTTTCAGGAGGGAATTTCTCTTCCTAGGGGTAGATTTCTCTCACTTCTTGTGATTTCACCCTCTGTTCTTAATTATGAGATGTTTGTACATCAGATGTTTGTAACTGCCTGAAATTGTGAAGACTGCTAGCACTGAATTTGGGGTGTAGACTTGTCCTCTCTGTCTGCATGTATGCATATATGCAGCTAGATTATTCTGACATATTTTTGTTTTGAATCATCACATTCACAGGCTCCTGAGTGGAACAGTTGGGGATAACAGGACAAACTGGCAATTGGCAATAGACGTACTCCTGCTAGGGCAAATAAAAAGGAGGCAGGAATAAGCTTCTCCTACTTTCTTTGCACTCTCTATACAGCATTCCCCTAATAAAACCTGTGACCTCCCCATCAGGTTGTAAGGCCAAAAATCCTGCTCTGTGACTCAATCTGTCTTAATCACTTGCTAAATATATACACCCAATGGAGGTATGGAGATATATTCCTTCTTCCAAGTTAACTTTATTATTCCATTAATAGTAGTAGTACTGTCACAGACTTTCACATATTGTAAGAAGTGATAGAAACAACAACAGCTGACAAGAATGTTATGCTTTTTCAGGAAACTAGCATTCTTGGGTACTGGGCTCTTTTACAGATCATAGGATTAAAGGGTATGATATTCTTAGCCTAGGTAGCTCAAATGAGAATTCTTTTTCACTGTAAAATCTGAGAGACACGGGATACAATTCTGTGAATTCTTATCAGGCTTGCATTTCCAGTGAATCCTGTGGGACTTGCTTCTGAAAAGACCCACATAAAATTGCTTTGCTGATTTATTTTGCTTCGTCTCAAACTGACAGCAACAAGGTCAGAAGTACACAAGCAACAAATCAAATTCTATTGGCTATTTATCCTGTTACATGAAGTACGGTTTCACTACACCAATGCTATTTCTAATCCGTATTTAATAATATGGCAGGGAACCAGCTGAACATTGTACAGCAATAAGAAGAAACCCTTTATAGCCTTGTTAAATTCTTTAAGGGAATTATTTTAACAAAGGAACCATTATTTTCCGGAACACATTATAGGGCTGAGAAAAGCAGATTAACTGGAATTTTAATTACACATCCTGTTTTATATTTAACATATGATACTACACATTTTGTATATTTCTCACTACTCCAAAAAAAACCACATTAAAAATAATAAACAATAATATGCCACGGAGGAGGGAAACATTAAAAACATGGGGGAAGGCACCTTGGCAAGGATTAATTGGAGAAGGAAGAAATCTAGTAGTGATAATCCTAATTCCTGCCTTCGGGCCAAATGGTGAAATTAAAATATCAAAATGACTGTTCTCTATTTTGTGCATTTTGGGTGTACATACAAAGAGTTACAATAGAAAATATGTTTGGTACATGCCAGGAATAAAAGATGGAATTGCTATACTTTGCCCTGAGAAATTAGAACATTGATAAAACATCTTGAAAACAGACATACAAGAAATTCATAGCAATAAATGTGTGTTTCCTCCATCCTCTGTCGTTTTGAGTTATTTGTTCCTTTCACTCAGCCCTTCTATTTATAGAGAATATCTAACATGCAATAAAGAAAAACAAAGGAGCAACAGAAAACATACTACAATACATGGTTTGGAAAAGAGCTTGGAAAGCCTAATATGAGCAAATATTGGACTCTTCCTTTCCCCCTCCAGAAAATGTGTCATTGGTCCCTACAATACAACTAAATATAAAACAGAATCATCACCCTCATTGCTTCAACTAGAGAATACAAAATAAATACCCCATTCAGGTAGACAAGCGAAACAGAGATGTATGTTCCATAGTGCTCCTTGGGATATTGGATACAGGAAACCAGCAATTATTTTTCAATGTACCAGGAATCAATACCACACTTTGTACAATAGTTATGTACCAAGGATCAATAGCAAGGACTGGTAGCCCAAAGCTCAGAGAACGTCATCAGTCCTTGGATCAACACTGTTGCAAAATATGGCAAATATATACTGAGTAAACTATTTTGGCTAAAAACGTCCCTTCCTTCAACAGCTAGTAAATGTATCTTCTCCAGAAGCATTAACAGGGAACTATACTTGAAAGCATACCTTAAAGCTCAGGGTTAAACCACTGAGCTGCTGAACTTGCTGACCGAAAGGTTGGCAGCTAGAATCCGGGGAGCAGAGTGAGCTCCCGCTGTTAGCCCCAGCTTCTGCCAACCTAGCAGTTCGAAAACATGCAAATATGAGTAGATCAATAGGCACCACTATGGCAGGGATGTAACAGCACTCCTTGCAGTCATGCTAAGTACATGACCTTGGAGGTGTCTATGGGCAACGCTGGCTCTTCGGCTTAGAAATGGAGATGAGCATCACCCCCCAGAGTCGGACACGACTAAATGCCAAGGGGAAACCTTTACCTTTACCTTTATACTTTAAAGGCAACAGATCCTGTCTGCTCTCAAAAGCTAAGAAAGGTCAGTCCTGGTTAGTACCGGGATGGGTATTGCCAACAAATTCCAAGTATTGTAGATTGTACAGATTGGTCCTCTCTTAATAGGAAATCTAAGACATTCCAAAATCTGAAATTGTCTGGTTTCTGAGATAGTAACATCTTTGCTTTCTGATGGTACACTTATTTTGCTACTCTGCGCCCTTCTACACTGCCATATAATCCAGAATATCAATGCAGATCATCCACATTATCTGCTTTGAACATTATCTGAATCTACACTGCCAGATAATCCAATTCAAAGCAGATAATTTGTGTAGAAAGGGCCTCTGTGGTAAGAGGAAAAGTGGAAGAAAAGTTCTGGATACTAAGGAAAAATTTAGGGCCCTTCCACACAGCCATATAACCCAGAATATCAAGGCAGATAATCCACAATAACTGCTTTGAACTGGAATACCCGAGTTCACACTGCCAGATAATCCAGTTCAATGTGAGTTTTATACAGCTGTGTGGAAGGGGCCTAACTCAGTGGTAAAGAAATTACTTATCTGCCTCCAGTTAAGCCCTTGCATTCAGAATCCCTATGATTCTTGTGTGTTGCTCCCAAATATCTTGTACAATAGTTTTAAAAAGTGTAGTTGTATGATGGTAAAATGTGAAGTGTAAGTGCTCATCAAGGCAGTCCCAATAGATATGCACCAAAAAGAGTAATAATATTCTTCCATAATCTGGGTTGGGGCCACTAGAGACAGAAGGATACTTCATTTTATGGGAGGAGGAGTTGAAGGAGGAAAACAATTTTCCCGTTTTTGTTGGTTATTCTCCCTCCCTCCTTACCATATCATAAACGAGGCTTGGGGACATGGGTGGTTAGGGGCAGGGAATAACAGGAAAACAGAAGGAAATGGTTTTACTTCTTCAACCCACCCTCCCCCCTCCACATAAAATGAACTATCCTTCTCTCTCTAGTACCCCCTTGTGGCCTCCACCCGGATAATGGAACAGTACCAAAATATGTGCATGGTGATGCAATTATCCATAGTATCACAAAAATCTATTATTGTTGTTGTTGTTGTTGTTGTTCTCATTATTAAAGATCTAGCTAATT